GAATCTAGGGATTATTTTAAGAAAATAAAACAAAAACATTACAAACTATACAGACATCTCTTGTACGAATTTTACATGCTAATGTACAGATTTGGTGTAGACTACACTAAATTATCTAAACACTTTCGAATTCTTACTATTAAATTAATACAGAGATTAAGAGACCTTAGCTCAAAAACTCCAAAAGATTATTTAAACAACAATATAAGAAAAATAAAAAAATAAAATAAAAAAACATTTCTTACATTGTATTTTTGTTTTTAGTACTGCCACTTTAATTACACTTAGTTGTATTATTGAACAATTAAAGCTACGAAATTTCTAAAAAATGCACAAGTGAAATAACTAATCCGAATTAAATCTTACAAACTTGTGGTACACACATACAGATAGAGATATTTATATTTTCTTTTGATACAATTATATTTACACTAAGCTAACAATGTTTCAATTGTGTAACTTAAAAAAATGGGATTAAAATAACAATCTTCTCGATGACACGAAAGTTAACAAGTAGTTAAATTCATGAAATTGACTATGCTTCCACATAAAAGGAACAACTCATAAATTTATCATCAGAGAAAATGTTTAATTACAACACACGTAACCTTATGGGTGGCTTTATTTAATTTAAGTCGATTGTTGAGAGTGTTGGGATGACATTGTAGAATAAAGAATACATCTAATAGAGTTTTTTTTAAGATATACAACCTATTATTCTCTTCAAATGGAAACCTACAAAAAAGTTCAAGTTGCAATGTCGCAAAAAATATTTCAAAATCCACGAACCAACTATTCTTTCTCATCGATGGTACCTGCAACAAATGCCCTAGGCTGACTCATTAGGATTCATAAATTCCCCGCCACAACTCTTCGAAAACCGAAACCTTCACTCGCAAGCTCAAAATGCCCTTCTCGTTTATCGGAGGAAAAAAAAAATCGCACGCCCCTTGGGCACAGCTCCCCTTTTATCTATTTACGTTTACACGTAACGTACAACTTCCACAAAGGACGTGTACAAGCTGGGATGACGCAGAAGGGCTTGTAACGCGAAACTTCGCCCACTAAAGTTCGCGAGTTTGTTGGTTTCATGAAGAGAGTTACTTTTAAAAGTATCGGTTTCGCACATCTATAAAAAAAAGGGGTTGAAAGTTTAAAATTGAACGAAAGTAATTATAAACTCATGATTTATGGTCAAACGAACAGTGGATGGTCGATGTGGAGGGAGAATTTTCAAAGTTAAAGGTGCAGGGGAATTCCCAAGGGTTTTATATCGAAGCACCGAAATAATAAATATCCCGCCAATCCACGTTCGGATGAGTTGGATATCCTTTTTTTTTTTTATTCTTGCCTTTCAAGGTAAACATCCAGTTTTTCCCCAAAGCTCACATGCGCCACATTGTTCTGATACTGCGCGATGCAAGAAAGAAGAAGCTCGTCTCCCAAGCGGAGCTCCGATAAAAAATTTATCATTTGCCGGGGGGATACAAAGTTTTGAAGTTGATTAATTTTTTACCTCGCACTTTGTCAGTTCGAGCAAATGTAATTCCACGGGCTTAGAGCACGAAACAATATTTGTCTTGCTGCGTGTGCTACAAAGGGGGGGATGGAAAAATTGGAACTGCTTGTGATTTTGTATAAGCTGCTCTAACCTTCGCAGAAACAGATGAATACTACTACTACTACTGTTGTCATTATTATTTGTGGTCTATTTTTCATTTATCAGCTCGAGTGATGCATGCTCGATTCTTTATCAGCTTGAAAGATGCCCCTCGTCTATTTATTATTTGTTACAAAGTTCTCGTTGGAACAAGCCTTGAAAATTTTTTTTTTCTTTTTTTTTTTTTTTGATGTGGATGTCTCAGAAATTTAACATACCAGGAGAATCAATCAATGCACTGATCCAATCGATTTTACTTTGCTGAAATTAGTTAAAATTTTGTTGAATATTGTTCTTTGAATGAATTGAAGTGCGCGTATAAAATTAAAGATCACAACATAACATAGCAGATGTTTGAGAAATAAAAAATTACGTTTAACATAAGCTACTGTAATTGTATGTGTACATCTTTATTTTCTTTAAAATTATATAATCAAGCAAATGGACCTATAGCCAAACAAATGCCGATCAATTTTTAACTTTACTAGTTTCCAGTGTTACAAAGTCTTAGTAATTTACACGTGATTTTAATTTTTCAGGTCAACGGTGAAAACTTGCTAAAAAAATATTTTTTAAATGTTAAACTCTGCACAAAATTGCACAGTGAGTAAAACAAGCCTTCCAAAATAGGAGTTGATTGCAAATAAATATCACATGCGACAAGTTTGTGATTATTGCATGAAAATCATCAACGAGTTGCACGTAATTATTTGTAGCACGAGGTGTTGAAAACTTTGCAACTCTACATACATATTTCATATTCAGTAGGATCATGACAAACGTAACAAATGTATATGAAGTGTCTTGGCTGTTTTCATTTTATTTATTATGCTTACGAAAATGGCTTTAAACTAATAGAACTGATTACACGTAAAATACAAATGACATCAAACAGAGCTTAAAAAAAAATTTTTCGTTTGCACGAAACGGTTGGATTAAAATAAACTTACTAACTTGATGTCGATTAAATCGCAAATTGAAGAAACAAATAATTTTATAATGACCCTGAATAAACTATTCCGACCTGTTAATATTTAATAAAAATGATAAGGGTCATTAAAGAGCTGACCTTACTCACATGGACCGTCCGGTAAAGTATGTGCCTGCAAGCAGATTAAGGAAATTCAAATGCAGCTGTAAGATGATGAAAAACTTCGTACAAACTGAGATAAAATAGTTTAACGTGCTGTAAAACGTTGTATGAAATAATTGCTTTCACTTTTGCTTGCCAACAGACAAAATTCAATTCAACACGTGCGATAATCTGACACAGATTGCGACTTCTTGCGGTGATAAGGGTCTATTCATCCTAGTAAAGTACACGTTGGTATAATTTTCAAAACTATGGGGCTCACATTTGACTACGAAAACAGTAGATTCGACCGGTGATCTAAAAAATATCCCAAAATGTTCAACGACTCCTCACTTCATATCCAATTCCCCAAGTTTGTCCGAAATGCGGGTTCTCCCGGCTGAATCCTCTATTTGCCTGCACCCTCCTTATTTGCCCAAAGCTCGACGGTAACCCACACAAATAGCCCGCCTCGACAACCTTCCCGTTACAAAATTAGGCAAACTCCTTTCTTTTCTCGATGCAAAATCACCCTTGCCCCCCCCCCCTGAACCAGCCACAAAGTTGGTTCGTCGAATTGCACCCTCGCCGCCAACGAGGGACTTTTGCCCAAGAATTCCCAAGCGAAAAGCCCCACTCGTTTTCCACCCCGCACACACTCTACCAGTGTGCACCTGTACAACCAAAGCATTTTTGGCTCACATGTGCGTACCTTAACCTCAAAAATATCGATTACGTGTATAGTAAGTACACGCGTTTGCATACACACTCGGTTTTCAACCCATCGTCGCGAGCTGCGCGTCACAGGTATTCGCTTGGCCCTTTGGGCTTTACCTCCGGAGAATAATAATACTCATTCCGCAAGAATAAAGAGAGAGAGTGTGTGTGGCCCACAGTAACCCCCCCGGACCTCCCGGTTTTGCGAGTGAGCCCGCACGGTGTGAGCGCGCGCGCCACCCGCCGAGCTTCCCCGCTATTGATTTCCAATAGCCACTGCTGCTGCTCTATACCCACCACTGCTCCGCTTTCCGAGCTTTCTTTGCTCTGTTAGCTCTTGCCCGTGGATAAGTACACCCCCCACCCCCATTTTCCTGACCCTTAATATCTCCCTTTTGCTCTTAAGCTCCTCCTGTGTTTATAACCAGAGATGCGTTGGATTTCGAGAACTTGGGTTGCGGGGGGCTCACCTCCTCGAGATTAATTATCATCGAAAGCCAATGTCCGAAGCCACTCCCAGGGGGTGGGGAGAGCAAACTCTTTTAATAACAATGTACGAGCGCGTAAACGCAGCGACGCATCACGCTTGACCTACTTTTGCGCGCGTGTTTGCGATAAAAGTTTACGCCGTTATGGACTCTCTCTCTCTCTCTGTTTTTCCTCCTCCTCCTCCTCCTCCTCCTCCTCTTCTACTTCTCGGGCTTTTCCGCGTCTTATCGTTATAATACGTCGAAATCCTCTTCCGTACAAATATTTTCATCCAAAGCCAGGGGAGGGGGGACACGCGCCCCGGAGTCAAAGGGACAGCCGTGTTATTATTTTTACGCGAGGATGCTCGTCCGAGGCGGAATTTCCTGCCCCTCTCACGAAGCCCACCTCTTCTCGGGATATTGAAAAAAAAATACTAATAGCAAAAGAACAATGAGAACCCGCTGCGCGGGGGTTGCTCTTCCTTTGACTCGGGCCGCGATCGTCATCTCTCTCTGAAAAGCGTTGATCTGTGCAGCTTCGCTGCGAATTTAAATAACAATTGTGACGCAATGGGTGAGGACTCGATGATTCGCCCGATTCTAATTTGTTTCGTTTCGTTGGAAATGACGGAAAAAATAAAGTAGTCTCGGCTGTACGTATATACATATATATTGTGTGTGTGCTGTTTTATTCCCAACGAGATTAACAATGTCACTCTTACATTACTATGCGATTGATGGCAAAATAGTGTAAACAACGGTAATAAGTATAGCTGGCCCACGTTTTGGCGACGATCCCACTGGAAGGGTGATGTGCGCTCTCCAAGTGAGTGAGAACATCCATGAAAGTAGTCACTCGAAGTCGTCCATTGGATTAAAAAAAAAAAAAAAGAAATCTTTGAAAAGACATCTAAAGTACTTGCTGACTTCAAAGTCTTGGAAAAGCCACCGAGAAGAGGAGAGTCATGAATTTTCATCGCACGTCAAAAAAACCCGCCGAATGAACCGATGGACAACGTCAAATAGTACAACCCAAAGCCCAGTGGGGATCATCCAGCTGGTTGTGTCGGTCGGAGCGCTTTGGAGTTGGGGATGATCCATTGCACTGGTCTCCTCGTCTTTCGTGGAGTATCAACTGGTGCGGAAGTTTGCGTGCAATTCGGCCAGGGTCTTGGCGTTGGTTTCTCGGACGAGAAAATGGCCCAGCAGTGCGCCGAGCCAGCAGAATCCGGCAAACAGCCACAGAGTCTCGGCCAGGCCCAGTTTCATCAGCAGCGCCCTCAGCTGATGGTTCAGCGTCAGGCAGAGCAGCCAACTCACAGCAGCTGTTGGAAGAAACGGGTTGGATTGAGTTTTCGGTCCTGAGCGTACTTCTCACCCCGTTGCCAATGTCCACACGGGAAAATCCACGTGGACCTCGGATACGAGGTAAATATGGTTTAAGAATCAGTGCAGTGTGTGTGGTACTTTATTAAAATTTTTTCATGTAAATCGTTTGCTTTGAACCAAAGAGAGCCAGAGTTACTCTTAAATTGAGACTTTGAATGACTTTCGATGTCTTTGGAAGACTTTAATGGTCATACTCTACTGTCCTTGGGAGTGGCCAATCCTTTTAGTTTGCACATAATGAATCATAAAGCGTAAGATACTTGCATACGATGGAAGCCGAATATGCGCGTAATTGCATAGGAAAGGAATCTGCAAGTAAAGCCCAGGATACGGGACCGACTCCGAGACTGTAGGCTCCAAAGTACAGGGCGATCCACGTGGGTGGCATCCAGTTGTACGTACTGCTTGGCTGGGTGTTGGAATCTCTCGATCTGATGTACGAGCCTACGTGGCAACGAAATCAAAAATGAGACGATGACCACATTTTGTTTCATGTGTTTAAAGTAGATTTTGATTTTTTGTCCTCTCTTGAAGTAAATTTTCACGTCTTGTGGATGGTAAAAAAAGTTATGATGGATTATTTAAAAATGACACGGGGATTGTCAATCAAAAGAAGGATGTCTCAAAAAAAAGTAAAAAAATAGAATAAACACTGCCAACTCATTGGTACATAGCTTCCTTATAAATTTAAAAAATAAATAAATAAATAAATAAAGTAAAATAAAAGCAAGTTAACAAAACTAAATTTTTTTATTTAGCGGTAATGATGTAAAAAAAAAAAAAATAAAAATAATAAGCTATGCTGAAACTAAATCAATTGAGGGAATCCTGAGATATAACTAACTCACATACCTACATGTACACACACGTATACGTACGGACATTTTTGCCCGAGTAATTGACTCCAGCTCTGAAGTTCAGAAAATTTATGCGTCGTAGCATGTTGTCTTAAAATGTTATTTTTTATCAGTAATAAATCTTTCTCTTCCAGATAGTCAAATAGAGTTTTGTAGTGAGGTTCGACGGGTGGATGAATTTATTATAAAATCTCGAGTTTCATGTTTATGATATATTTGAGAGCACAAGTCTCTAACATTCATCAAAGCATCAAAGCTTTAAGCATTTGCTCTCACGTTTGGCGATGAATCTGTTCAACAAACACTTTATTTTAGTAATTGAAAAATAAATTACGAAAAGATTGAAGTATCGAGTTTTCTTCAATTTGCTCTTGTAAAATTTACAAGAAATAGTACCGAAACAGGGACTAAATTAATTTACGTTTTACTCAACGTTGTTCCGTGTAAATTCAAGAACCATCCATCAACAAAAAAAAACAGCCCCACGAGATTCATCAGCATCCTGGCGAGTTATATACTTTTAATGGAAAAAGTATCACGAGTTTGCCATCGATTTACAAAGTTTCATTGCTTTGTGAGCCGCGTGAGAGTCGTGTGTAGTGAACTTGCGTGGCTGGAGAAAATATTTCAGCCAAGAAATCAAACTCCAACTTTTCCATACAAAAACAAAATACCCGTATGATTTGATTTTCGCTACTCATCCAAATAATTTCCCTGTCACTTTGAATTTTAGTTTTCATCAGATTCAACGCCCATTCAAAACCACACAAAAGTCAATAGAGCGTATAGTAATCGAGCGTGGTGTCCATATCCATACGCCCCCCGCGCCACAAATATTCATTTATGCACGATGTAGATAGGCGCGTTGTAAAAGCTTTTGTCGTCCGCGTATCGGTGAAAGTGATGGCGAAATTAATTTCCAATTAGCCGATGCCTCATCGATACGGATATATCTCGACTACGGCGAAAATCAGAATTCAATAAATTATAAATCAGTTGGCACCAACGAAACGAATAACCGCGATTCCCGATCGTCATCGATGATTAACCGGCGAACCGATGAATTTGTAATCCAGGCTGTTTGTTACGCAATAGTTGGCAAACCGCGCGGAGAACAAAGAAAGGGAGGATGGATGAGCAAACGAAATAAAATGTAAAGTGGAGGTACGCACCCAAAAGAATGAGCGACAAGCCCATGAGAAAGGAGGAGCCGATCAGTAGTCTCCGGCGTCCGAGGTAGGTAACGAGAACGACGGCCAGCATCGAGGCTGTGATCTGGAGTGCACCGCAGACCAGGTTCAGTTGGCCGGAAGTTAGTTTACCGGAGCCCGCGTGGTCGAACAGGGCGAGGGCGTTGAATATTATAGGGCTGGCGCCGCTTAGCTGCTGCAGAGCCGTTACTATCATGGTGGCGCCGAACCGATGCCAGAACTTCCAACTCCTCAGCGCGCTCACTTTTTTCTGGAATACAGTGAAACAATCGTGCATTTTTCCATAGGATATATAGCGAGGATTGTTTAACTCTACGGTTCAACCGAATGGTCGATCAAGCTCTTTCGAAACTTTACACATTGTTTATAATCAATGAAAAAAAAAAAAAAAATTTCGGGGGATTTTATGTTCCATGGCACTGTCTACACTTTCATTCAAGTACCAAAAGTATTTCGGTACACAAATTAGCCGCAATCTGATGGTTTGGAAGATTTCTTGTTTGTACGGTCGTCATCCAACAAAACACAGGTAAATTTTGTCACAGCGAGGATGATATTGCACTCGTGATGCCAAAACATGATACTGAAATCTAATACAACAGTTGTAATTGGCTCGCTGCTATGATTGTAAGCTCTGATACCGGCTACTGTAAAAATTCAGTATTTACAACGGCGTAGTGGATACCTTTAGAGAATGGCGCGTCAAGGGCGAGGATTAGAGGACAATTTTGCAGCTTTATTTATCCTTCCAGCCGCTTCATCTTCGGACTTCATTACATAGTCTGATGGGGTAATTAAAATTTCAGTACTTATCAATGAGCTACAAGTAATATCGGCTTGCTGATTGAAATCTGAATAACTTTGTTATTTAACGATATATTTTCCAAGCACGAAGAAGGACGGCGGAAATGAAGCTTACTTTGACTTGAGCTTTTGTCAAAGCAGAGTCATGAAAAATGGATTGTGGAGAATATCACGTTTAGGGTAACTGATAAGGAACTTACACTTGCTAGTCTCCATTACCTCCATGTATATTGATTCGTGGGATTAACTTTTTTTTATTTGCATCCATAAACATTAATTGTTTGTCGTATAATGACTCGGTTATTTGTTCGAGTAGCAAAAGGCAATAGAACTTGAAGTATGTAAACGATGTACCAAGTAAATACTTCATTTTAGAAGATCCATGCGTATTTGGTACTTACATTGCAAAATAATCAATACTTCCTGACCGAGCTTTTGCATATTTGTTATTTTACCATGTTTTCTTTGATCACTCGATGAAATATAATTACAATTAATGAAGATGATGATTTTTTTTTTTACACGCTGACTAACTTGTTGATCGCATTGTTATCTGGTAAGAATTATACTAACGAGGATGAAACGTAGAAATAAAGGTGACGGATAACGAGAAGATAAAATTCATGAAATAGAGTGCAAAAAAAAAGTTTGAACAAATAATACTTTCTAGTAGTAACTAATTGAAGGGACCACAGACATTTACGATGGCATACATCACAAAGTTCTAAAATTCAAGCGAATATTATGTATGACTTAATCGGCTTCACTTAAGATTTAATAGTTTCACTCTACTAAACGATTTGAAACGGTATCATGGCACTGGGTAAATTTGAAACAGAACAGTTGTGAAGAATGTTCTGTGAGAACGACATAATAATCAGTAAAAAATTTTTGTTAGCCACTTTATCTTAATATAGTTACTACCAATAATACTTTCCAGTACAACTATAAAATAGTGCTCATACTTAAAAAATTTTATAGAGATTACAACATGCTAAGTTTAATGTAACATTTCAAACTAATAAACAATCCTTATCGCTAAGAACCTCAATTGACGTATTTTCTCACTAAAACTAGTGAATCGAAAAAAGAACAATCAAAGTATGGACAGCAACGACAGTGACAAGGTAAACATTGAGTAGCATTTCGTATGATTTCATCTAAAATGCGACAGTCATGTGATATACATGATGGGGAAATCGATCGTACATACACGTTTGGGTTATTGTATTGGTTTCCAAAAGCGTTGAATAAGTTAACAAGATGCAATCAAGTATATGTCTTGTATTGACGGTACAAAGAAACGGAGGCATTGATTATTTTCGTTCTTGTCTTACCTCATCGAAGGCTCGCGCGAGTGAGTACATCAGCTCATCTTCGGTGCTTGAACTATCAATACTTTGCAATGTATTGATGGTGTCTTGACTCTCCTGATGGTGAACTCGTTGCAGGGGACTTTCCGGTACAGCACAGCACAACAACGCAGGAACGCAAGCAGCTGCACAGCCCATACTGTACCTGTAAGTGTAATCTTTAATGTGATACAGTATCATGTGCATCCATTCAATATCTTCCCACGTATATAGGAGCTGCACGAGATTCAAAACTTTTTTTTAACTTAATTTTTGTTGTCTTTTCTTTCGATACAATAAGAAGAGTCGAATTCTCGAGATAATGGAATATGATTTTCACAATACATTGGTATTGATCATCATTAAAAACAATTTTTAAAACTGCGTTTATTGCATTTCGTTTATAAAAATTAAAACCATACCTTCATCTTTTAGATGATTTTAAACTCGGTAAGCACAACCACAAATTGAAACAGACTAATCCTCCCATTTAACTGCACAGGAACTGTTGATACAAGTAAGTTTTAAAATACCCTTTGCCATTTTACCGACGTGAGAATTGATTATTAAAAATTTAAGACAATATATTTATATTTCCCGAGACGTTTCCGGTATTTTTCAAGAGCAATCCACAACATTGACCTAAATCTCGACTCCCCTACTCCCCAGCATTTTTAGCCAGTCAAATTGTCCCTTGCGCCCTCTCGAGTTATATAGAAAGCTCGAATTTCAATCAGCCATTAGCGGCTTTCACTGCAACCATCATATAAAATCGAAACCAACGTCCTCTGTAAGCATCACAGAGCAAATAGTGCACAAACTTCCCATGGCGTCGGAGTATACGAGCATTTCTCTATTTATCCCCATCCGTTCATTTATTTGCGCCCATTTTCGTGTTTACCTTTTGAGAGGGAGCTCGTCCTCGTCCTCGAGCAAGATGGCCGAGGCCAGGGCAAAGGAGCACGCCAACCCGCCGCTGACCATCATGTGGAAGTAGAAGAGTAGGGCGTCCCTTTGCTTGCCGTCAGCCGCGATTTCCCCGATGTACAGGGGCACGAGAGTACACAGAGAGCCCAGACCCAAGCCGCAGAAAATTCGGCCCCAGAGCAGGTACCAGTACTGAAATTCATGGGTGCGTGATAGTGCTTCATGTGTCACGCAGCTTTGAGCTTTTATCTTTGTTTTTTTTTTTTTTTTTTTTTTTTAGCTTGTAAGCTAAAAAGATATACATGTTGGCATATTTATGGTCCTTTTGAATATTTTTTAATGTCACTCGAGTACGTGAAATGTTGATGGAAATCTATGGATTTTAGCAAAAACAGTGTTTCATCAATAACATTTACGATGATGTATACATAACCATAATTTTTAAAATAAAATATGGACTGTTAAAGAAACATAAATTTTTACTTTTATTTTTAACATGTAATTTTAATGGTAAAAGCATTAGTAAAATACGCATTAAAATACCATCATACTTTTCCTCTTCATATGGATATCGTGTTACCGTATTGATGCATATATTCAAATTCCTGTAATTGTGAATTCAACATTATTTGCTATTAATGCGAATTATTGAACTGTTTGATTTTTGAATGCATCGAGACAATTCATGATAATCATGTAAATGGATATTCATCAAAATCACAACAATGAATGGCACGTAATAATGCGAGGCAAAGAAAAAAAATGTTCAATTAACCCAACTCAAAAGCAAAACAGATTGGAAATTAAACTGAAAAAAAAAAAAAAAAGTATTACATAACTCTTAATTCGTTTACCCGTGCCATGCTACCGCTGCTACCTCAAAAGAAATAATTATCAAAGCGTGCATTAAAATTGTGTCTCTCCCGCACGAGGAATGCACTTTCTCTCACGCCCGTTGTCACGGAAGCTCGACCCAAGCTTACAACAGCTGCGAGGAAAAAAACGTGTGCTCATGCACAAAGTCCCCGTGATGTGTGTTACTTTGGCCACCGGAGAGCAGAAACTTTCGCTTGAGCAAAAAAAAAATTTTTTTTAATAAACCAAAAGAAGCCTCTTCGGTGCCTTTGACACTAAAAGAGGAGGAGGAATTTCTTTTCGACTCTTGTACTCTCTTTGTGGAAGTCGTGACAATTTTGTGCCAAGAATGATAAAAGTAAATAAATAAAACCCCGAACGTGCCTTTCTGACGACTCCAGCGAGTCTCTTTACGCGACCAATGGAATTTCATCTCACTCTGAAAAATTACTTTCCCAGCTTTGTGAAGAGCCACTCTCTTTCACTACAGACCTGCATATTTTTTTTTTTTTTTTTTTTTTTCATGTTTTGTTTTTTTGTTGTTTGAGTCATGAAAAAAATGTCAACAAATGAATGTGAAAAATTAAAGCTACTTATATAGCATTCGCAAGATAAGATGTAGTTTTAAATTATGTTACGTCGTATAACACGAGTAATCAAAAGTAACACTTTTACAAGTATTTTCTGCATAAGCTGCACACAATGTTATCCTTTTGGCTGGACTAAAATATGCTAAAAATCAGTTATTCAGTTCACCCTGTACTTTAAGTCAATAATTACAACGATCAATTATCCATTAAAAAAATGCTGTATAAAGATGGCTTTACTTTTGTCATAAATTTATTAAAATTTTAATCCAAAAATGGTCTAAAAAAAGCTTCGCATGTAATTTTTTCTCAATGTTGTTACACTAAAAAAAAAACCAATATGATTTGATTTGATTACCACTAGGGAAATCGATGCTGATGCCCTAGAAAAATAATTCACGTTACAAAAGGTATTGAGATATTTATAGCGTTTTCAGAGAACTTCATTTTAATCCAATTACTATGTGTAAAACACGGTAATTTTAAAGCAAGTTTTTTGTACGTATTGTTCACACCTGCAAACAAGTCATTGTGTGCAGTAATCTGAAACAGCTTCATCTACATTAGAAAAAAATGGTGACGCTGAATAACACGAACAAATAGCCTTTTGTATGAGCCGCAAGCTTAAGAAGAAAAAAAAAAATTTTTTTTTCAATTTTAATGTATCTTTGACACCTACAATAAGGGTTTACAAATTTTTTGGCACCTTCTAAGTGAAAAACAACAATCATGTAACGATTTTACTGATATCACTTTTGTCTTTAATATTTTCATACTATCAACGAAAAGACAAGTTACAAACAGCATTATCTTAATTGAGAAATTTCTTAACTGCTCTGACCATCAAGCTAAAAAAAAAAAAAAAAAAAAACATCCACATGTTAAGACCTATGACGTTAAATATATTTTTCAAATGCATACGATTGAAATTTCCTGGCGATTAATTTTAATACATTTTCCTACCTCGAGCGTTTTTTAATGTTTCCTGCACCCTAAGTGGGAAAACCTGCGCTCTGGAATCTGCTAGACTATGGCATTGAAGCCCATAAGAGTGAGAGAGAGGTTGGATGTGGTCACGTGATGAACCTCTCTCTCACTCTCATGGGCTCCAATTCCGTAGTCTGGCAGACTCCATCTAAACGCACCCCAAGGCCCATTCGACCCAGGCAATCAAGAAGATCCCTCGGGTATATCTATTGCCCTCGGTGGACACGTGCGGACATTGAAACGCTTATAAAACAAAGGAGCAAGATAACCATAAATAATTAACGCCTCACCTACCGAATAGTCTCCGTAGCAGATGACCGTCCATCCCAGAACAAGAGGTGGTACGGCGGCGCAGACAAAAGCTCCGCTCGAGCCGGCTCGGCACTTCTGGGGCAGTAGAACGAGAAATAGAGCTCCGAGGGTGGCTCCCACGGCTACCACGCTGACCACGAGGTCCGCGTCCTCCTGATCCCACCCAAGAGCCGTGCGAAGCGCAAGACCGGCCAGCGAGTTCCAGCCGAGCGTCACTCCTGCGGCAAAGCCTGCCGTGGAAGCTGCAATTTTTTTTTTTTTTTTTTTTTTTTTTTTACAAACTCTCATTGTCTTTTCCGTACGTTTCGATGGATTATTCGTTTTTATTAACTTCTGGTCATCTGGTTATACAAAGGTTTTTCGTTAGAAATGCGTGCATTTTGACACGACTGATGCAACATCACGCTATTTTTAACATTAAACAGAACTCGAGAAACATATTGTACATTTAATATTGTTCAATATTTATGTTTTACCACACGTTGTAGGGGCCATTTTTGCCGTAGTAGGTGTACGTGAAACTTTGGCCACTATCGTAACATTAAATCCTCGACCCTATAGTGTCCTTTCAATGGCCCTCTGCACGACATATACACTGTGTACCGAACTTTGTAACGGTTAACAATTTCACGGTGTAACTCAAAAGCAAAGCTCTATGGCTCTCGATACGTACAAGTACTATCTCCATCCCTGGCCCACAAAGTTATACAACTACCTTGAAAGCGTACCGAGCAACGACTACCGTCACCACTGTAAAAAAAAAAAATGCATCCCTTCATCTCATTGTCAAAAAATAAAAAGAGACATCGGTCGATAAAAACTTGGAAATGCAGATCTTCTTTGATCTTTTTTTTCATTCCCTAGTACTTTACTTTCTGCAAAGAGATTATTCCTTTACCACGAAGCTGTAAGGACTTGTTTTCCTCCTCTTCGTGTCTCACTCGCATGCGTACAACTACACACACGTAGCGTATGCCTATACACAGAGGATCAGAAAAAGCCAACTACAATTTCTCAGGCTGTATACGTACGCGTGCGTGTACACCGAATGCTGGTACGAAGTTGGCAACTATAATTTCTCGGGCTTGATTTTGCCGCTACTCGGTCAATTACTGCCAACCTCCTTCCTCCAAAGTACTTTGTCAGTTTACCTATTGGAGATGGGGGTGAAGATGCATTCGCTCTGCCCTGATTTCCTGGCGACCGGATAAGAAAGCAGTTGTATGGTGCTCGAGTGAATTACAACGTGCCCACTGATTTCAACTGTGTTCGACAACTGTGTCTAGCCAACAACTTTGGTTTGTTTGAACAAAATTTTTTTTTTATGTATCATAAAGGATAATAGTTTTTTCTATCAGGTTGATCGGTTGCACTTTTAATTTTAAAAAACATTTTTAATTGCGCACAGTACTGCAATAGTTGATTTTAACACTCTATAACAAAATGTTCAATCATGTAATAACAAGCGTAACACAAGTCGTACAAAGAAAGACAACGTAAAGCTCTCGACACAAATGATTTGTCAATAAAGGGAGGAATACTTACTATTGAAGCTGCTAAAATTAAAAAAAAAAAAAAAAGATGAATGGAAAAAACGGTGTCAAGAGAAAAGTGCACCGATGGAAAATCAGAAACATCATCGACAAATTCATCAAAACCGATAAAATGTAGAAATTAGTTGGAAGAGGCGTAGCAAAAAAAAATATATAAATTAAAGAGAATGTAAGATAAAAGAAAGTATAAAAACGAAGGATAAGAGCAGAATGTAGCTAGATAGTCTGAGGCACAGTCACTAACGCAAACAAATTCATACACGTTAAAAAAAAAAGAAAAAAAAATACCAATAAAGACAAAGTTGTCACAGAAATAGCATAGTCAAAGATAAAAAACTTTGAAGTTTGGGGTACTTCATTTATCTCAGATTATATTTTTACTACCATCTGCCACGTATAAATCAACGTAATATTAACATGTATCATTTTTGGAGCGATTTAATTATTATGACTTTTTAAATTGTATTAAAAATAAGATGAGACACTCATGGGGAATGTTGCAAATACGTATTAAATAAACATGATTGAATATATAATAACACAGAATACGAGACTTGGTTTACTTATGACGCAAAGTTTAAAAATACAAGTAACGTTATCTGAAAACAAGCGTCTAATCGTGATGAGTAGGGGTTGACGATCGGAGTAGTTACGATCACCTTCAGTACTACCATATTAAATTTAGACTTTATTAAAGGAGAAACTTATGCGTTTAACAATCATTCGAGATACCAAAATTAGCAAAGCATGATTTTTATTTAAGTGATAATGTTAACGAACTGAGGTGGCCTCGTCATTCGGTGACGATTCAAACGAGGTACGTTCGGCTGCAAGGTAAACTCATCAACATTTTTAGTAGAATCATCACCAATAGAGTAAGGCATATTGATCGAGTCACATAGTTTCTGTTAATTTTTAAGTGACCACGTGACGAGAAAAACTCCTTTACCGAACGTACACAGTAGAAAGTTAAAGAAAGACGTGGGTGGGCTGTATGTTGATTTCTGATACCTACCTAATTTTTATTTGACTGAAAAACTTGATAGCAAAAATTTTGGATCACCGACAAAAACTATGTGCTTTTTTATCGGACAGTGTCATTTAGTTGGAATAATTTATAATTTATTATTAATCTTTTGGATTATTTTAGAAGGCAGCTCGAAGCACTTGGAGCGCTGACGAGAATATAAAAGCTTATCGTGTGCATTTCTAATTTCAATGCTGAAGTAAATCTAGTTTAAAATAAATTTGCTGTTGATAAGACAAAAAATAATTAAACAAAGTATAAAAGACCCAATTTTTACTCAGTATGTGCTTAAATCGACCAATGAAAAGTTTTGTTTAAACCGAAATGTCTTTTTATTAAATTAAACCAATCAATGTTAACTAAACATCCACTGGTCAGTGAAATACCACGAAAAATAAAAAAAAATATATATAGAATCAGGTTTTAGGAAACAAATCACGAAGAGTAATTGGAGTCGCAAGATATTCCTCGTTGTTATGTACTTAGCTGTTTTGAATAAATTTATTAACTTGTAAGTGGCACTGCACAAGACTTGATCGACAAAAATATACATTTTTAATCAAGTACGGTAAGTCGTTATTTGTTTTATTTTAATTAATAATATCACGTCACAGCAGTTATTTTGTTACATTTGGTTAATGTTAAATAAATTTCAATAATGCAAGTTGAATTTTACTTACTGGCGAGTAATTGCAAAATATAATATTCTAATTGCGTACCGAACATGGACTAGAATTATTCTTGATTTTTTTATGTAATGTATATTTTTTGCCTACTTAATGATAACGATAACAGTTACAAACGGTACCAATTTTAACTTTAGTAATTAATTTACGTATGCATATCTATTAAAATCTTTTAAAAAATAAAGAGACAGTTTTTTTCCATATAGTAAAAACAGGGATTCATATCGTGCTAACTAAAAATAAAATTAAAATTTTTCCTACCTTGGGCTACTTTGAGGGTTGGGTGTGCCCTCGGCAGGAAAAATAGGGTTCACATCTGGTACGCATCCAACCAGAGCAAGCACAAGGAGTCCCTCGGGCTTCCTGCTTGCTCTGGCGACATGCGCCACCAGGTACGAAAACTACTATTTCCAATTTTACGTTTTTTAAAAGTACATATTTTGAATATAATCATAATGTACCATTATTGACGAAAATTTCTTGCTTCAAGGTTTAACTACAGAAATGCGGTGCATAACCTTGTGCGTTTATTTTGTATACTTGTTCATGATGTATTCTGCGTGCAATCCACAAGTGATGGAGATGTCAGTCAAAGGTGTTCAATTTTTGTATCAAATATACCAATACGAAAATAACAATATGAAGACAACGATAATCAATCAAAAATTAACTGAACAAATCCATTATTTGAACCTGATGAACAGTATCGAGGAATTAAAACTAAAAATAGAAAGATTACAGTTGGACGAACCAGATGTTACGAACATGAAGGCGCGTATATACGATTTGCAAATATGCTCGGGTGCGATAACTGAGCGTTACGAAGACTATATCAAGTACAGTGAGAATCAATCGCTGTATGATACCTTGACTTTGGAAGCTTTTTATAAAGAAGTGATGAACGAAAACGAGGGAGTACCCAAGTTGCTTTTCAACATCCACGAGCAGATCGTTGGTTTGCGTGCTGACAGTCTTCTTAATGTCATAGACAAGTACATAGAGGTGAGAACATTGTATCTATGTGTTCACAGTATATATATATAGTGTTGCTTAATATACGAGGATTCTTTTTTGTGTTTAGTACATCGATCCCTACTGTCAAAAACGATTATCTCGACAGCAATATTTTTACAACCTATTCATCTCCATCGTATCCCACGAACTAAAAGGTTTTTTCACCCTAGAGTATGCCTACAATTTAAAAAGACAACTGGAAAACAGTGAGTTTCTTTAGATTCATCTCACCGCGTCTGAGAAATCTTTTTTGTTGCACTGTATATAATGTCATACTGCAATTTTCCAGAAACTCTAAGCCAAGAACTCAAAGATTTATTCAGTCTTCGTCAAACAAGAATAAATTCCACCGTGTCGGCCTTTTACGAAGTCATGTCTCGCGCGGAACAGAGTGTTTGGAAGTGCGATCCAAAAAAACATGTCGAAAGTAAGAATTAATGTATACATTGCAGTTCACAAGAAAAAAAAAAAAAAAAAAAAAAAAAAAAAAAACACTTGACAGTAATTGTTTAATTGGACCTCTAGATCATACCTATGTTGAGTTGAAGAATGTTTTTCGGCGGATATTTTACGACGCAAGAGACTTTTCGTGGGACTTCAACAGTATTTCTTGCACTTCGACCAAGTGCCCGGAAATTCGCGAAGGTAAACCTATCGAGCCGAAATGTGACGAAGGTATTTGTTTTTTGCACCAACGCCACTGCAACAGCGTAGTGATGTGCAAGCAAATACAAAACGAGCAATATAATGTTTGTGTTTCGGTGAGCAAAGTTTTAAATATTAGTCTAAACCACGGCTGTATCTGTATACCATATACTGAGAGAAGAATTTGTTTACTATCAACGTACAAATATATTAACAGAAAATTAATTTACATGTTCTTTATAACTTTTTAAATTTTAACTGCACACAACGGCATGTTAATAGTTAACATGCCATTTTTACGTTGAACCTACACCGTGTTAGATGGCAACACGTGGGATACATATTATACGTAAGTTAATAGTTAACATATGAAATTAATTACTAATAATTCCTTCTCTCAGTGTACTGTAACCCAAATTATACGAGGTAAAACATTTTTATTTATTTATTTATTTATTTATTTTTTTTCAGAAAGACCAAAAACACGGTTCCAGATACAAATATGTTCACGACGCAAGTAAGGAGTTATTTAACAGAGACCAAACGTGCGATGGTCAATTCCGATCAGTGTTTAAGCTCGTACAATCATATCCCGGGAGTTTCTCGGAAGCAGAATGTAACATGTGCGACTGTATATGCGACGAGTCACGAGACTCGGATCACTACATTAGTCTGAAACCAGTTACATCTGACAGCATGAATAACTAGTAAGTTGGTTTTCATTGACACAAAATTTTGAACTTTTGATTTTTAGAACAAGAATACTTAACAATGCCTGTTGCAACAGTATCGTCACTGGGGTAAAATTTGAACTCGTTCATCACACGCTTTATATTAAGATACAACAAGGAAAATTATTGAAAAGTGGATTCGTATCTAGAAATTCTGTCAGCTGGAAGGACATTACCGTTGCATCCGATAAAGTTGGTGACAGGGTTATTAAAAATAAAGAGAAAAGTCCATCGCAACCAAGCCATAATACTACATCTTCTAGTTTTTACACGTTTGAGGGAAAGGAAAAATTTAAGCTCGAGTGGCACCGAAGACGTGGTTTGTACCTAGACGACTTGGAATTGAAAGAAGGCAGCGTTGTTACGGGAATCAGATTTGCTTTGGATGCATTGGAGAATGGTGATGTGAACATTATGTTAGACTTGCAGGCAACTCCGTTTGACCTTGTAAATGGTAAATTAATGACAGAAAATTCCACTTGGATATCGAGTTTTACTGCAGCACCAAAAAGGTACCTAAAGGAATCAATCATCGCGTCCGTTCAAAATATCGAATTATGAGATACCAAAAAGAAAAAATTTTCTATTACAATTTCATATAACTTTTTAATCCTCCAACAAAAAGATGTCAAAATAAAATTGTCCTCGCCATTTCTAACATCTAGAGGACAATTAAAATAATCCAGTTAAGGGTTTTTATCTCAAGAATTTTATTATATCTCAGTAGATGTCTCTGTGGAAAGAAAATCTAGTTCCATAAAACTTTTTCTACCTCAATTATATGTGTATCAAATATTTTTTGCTTGGCTTTTATCAATTTTGTCATTAAAATTTTCAATAATTTTTTTTGCGATGATAAGACACGTAACCACTACATCTCATCCCTTAAATTAAAATATACTTGCGTACACATTTGGTACCTTATAACTCCTTATATTTAAATATATATCGTGTCTAGTTTTAATGGTAAAAAAAGTTAATTAGTGTGAATGAATTTTCAGATCTAAATTGTACTTAGAGTCGTACGATTCTCCAACTTTGTTGAACGTCACCAACAAACCGGACGATCAATTACATCAACATACATTTTTCACTCCATCTGCCTTTACATCGAAAGATGCCGGACAAACGTTATTGCCTTTAATCGACATTCAGCCAGTGACTTCGGATCCACCAATACCACTCATGGGAGTCAGTCTGGATATTAAAAGAGCCGAAAACTCTGGAGGCTATCTTATGTTAAAAATCAAAACTTACAATACGTTGTGGTTCATAAATCACTAGTGATAAACTGGGACAAGCTGTAAATAACAATGGGAATTTTGTGACGATAGGTACCGAAAATAATGCCTGAATAACAACATTCTTTGATCCCTGCGCTATTCTATTCTTGAAAAAGTAGAAAAACATTTTCAAGTTGAATGTATCTTCGTTAGCAAGTACTTTACAATTTCAATAAAAAAATATACTTTATCGTGAAATTACTCGTGTTACGTACTAATAAATGATTTCGAACAGAAGAGGCTAATAACAAAGAAGTCGTAAATCTTAATCATAAAGTACAAATCCTCGTACAATAAAAATACTATAAAACAAAAAAAAAAAAAAAAAAAATACCCTGTCAAAGAGGGATCTTTAAAACATCAAAAACGAAAACAAACTAAACAGCCTTTGATTTATTTTTCTTCGACCACATCCAAATCATAAGAAATCTAGGCTATGTTTTAAATTTTAGGAATTACATAACAACTTTAACCTTCGAAACTGCTTTATTGTAACCTAAAACAATGATTTTCAAAGTCAAATTTTAATACGTATGAAATCTCGCCGATAAGTATCACTCATTGAAATCAAAGTTAACTGTATGCATAACTCGTAATGAAAAAATTGTATGAATGCTGAAATACACTGAGTTATCTAGATATACCAAAGTAGGTATAAATATATTTGGCTTGGGTAACAATAAGTCCACCTGTTGATCTGTAAGCGATTGTTGATTTCACTACGCATTTGCCTATGAAATAATAACCTCGAACCACTCGTACACACAACTGACGTAACAAAAAAAAAAAAAAAAAACATTTCGTCGAAAGAGGGCACTAGTCAAATCAATCGATGTGTCTTTAAATTAGTCAGAATCACGTTTTGTAAACATGTTATTTTTCAAGATTAAAGAGGACCGAAGAAAACCGCTGTTCACACTTACACATACGAAGAAAGGGAGTCTCTTACCGAGCAAGGCGGCAACGTGCTGATTTAACCTGGCAATCGAGGGCATCCTCGAGAGCAGCTCGTAGCCTCCTCTCTGTCTCAGGTTTCTTTAGATCCTCTCCACCTCTTGCTCTCCGTGCACTTGTGTATTCTTTCTTTTTCTTTGTCTTTTTGTAGTTTTTTTTTTTTTTTTTTTTTTTTTTTTTTTTGTCCTCTTCCACCCCCTGCACTAAGATGAGAGGAAGTTTCTCTCGCACGGAAAAGCGTGGACGTCTGCACACCAGCGATCGAGTGCTCGGCACATGTTTTTTCTCCCTCCCTGTTTCCTCTGGCTTACTCTCCGCGCACGGCTACACTTGCAAATCGAAAAAGTACAAATTACGTGAATCGTGCGCTAGTTTGGTTATCATTTTGTTGATTATTTGCGTTCGACTTTGAGGTTACAAAATACAAAATCGACACTTTGATGAAACCGATTTTTTGTAGTCACGTAAAAAAAAAAATCTATTTCTACTCACTGTAATTCTTTATCAATGCTTTGCTTCCAAATTGTGTGTGGAGCGGAGGTGGAGGGCTGCTTGACCTACTCGGCGTCACCCAAAGTGAGTGGTAACTTTGCCACGGAAAACTTGCCTGTCGGCACTTTTATTTAACTTTAGAAAAGAACAAATAACGACATCGAGCTTCGACTCGTAGTTTCTCGGTGCAGGTGCCCCACGACACGAATAACGAGCCAAAAATTTCCTTTTTCAGTTCCTCGATGTTTCTCGTAAATATTCATAAGGGCATCGGTCACGGTTTATTTATCTCGGCTCGTTACATCGTACGTATCGAGTGTCAAATTGCGAAATTGCGACCGGAACGACAATAAGGACCGAAAGTTTCGTGATGTGTAATTTGTACGGGGGAAAAAAAAGATATAGGCAAGGAGGGTTCAAGAGATGTGTTCACTACCACGTTGTTATCTTACTTTTTTTTTTTTTTTTTTTTTTTCGACGATGGGGGAACTTTTTTTTCCTTGGGACAAAAGTTACTACGACACGATATCCGTCTGGTACGCGTGACGAGTTAAGTCATTCTGACCTTAACTTATGAAATTACACGAACCACGGTACTCTACAACCATACGTGTCAACCACAAGGCAACCTGTACTAAAAAAAAAAAAAAAAATCAAAAAATTTCAAAACCGATAGTCCGCAGTTACATGCACAACTGAACTGGCCAGCTCGGCTTGCCTTTTTTCTTTTTCTCGTTGACCTCCCGTCGACTTATCAAAAAACCAACTAGAGCACGCGTGCCAGCCATTAGCTCGAATCGAGCCGTAAAAAACTTGCCTAACTGTAAATACCGTTATGCTTACAGGATAATGAGCGTACGAGTAGTACGCACGTATTTGTTCGAGTTGGTTTTTTTTTTTTTTGCCAACAAAAGTTTTTCTCGTAAACTCTGGTGCGATTCAAACAGAGAGATAGAACCGCACGAGATGAGACGGAATGACTTACCTTTCGAAAACTTTTTTTTTAGACTCATCCCCTGTCACGCCTCGGTTGGAGCAATATTAATACATCAAATGTCACAGCAACCTAATGAAAAAGAAAAAAAAAAAAAAACACGCACTTCGTTAAAAAGCCATCAGGTGTAAGTCAACAAAAACGCTTCGTCAGCCAGAGTGGTGAAAAAAAAAAAAAAGCCATCAACTTTTCCTCCCAGCACGTGTATACTTACGTTCGCACGAGCACTCGAAAGTTTCGAGATCTGCGAGCCCCGAGTCGAGTCGTAAGACCCGCTAAGAAGACGAAAGGCGTCTCATCTCTTTGGGGTCACCCGCCTCTCCCCCCAAATCCCCCTGTCTTTTCTACACTTGTAGAAGTGGAACAAAAATATACTGACCCGTGATTGTAGCAGTCGTTCTTTTGGTATCTGATTTCAATATTTTTGGAGTACCAACCAATAAGCTTGAATCGATGACGCGACAATACAATCAAACGCGTGTGGAGATAAAAAAAAATCAAATAAGGTTTACAGTGCCGTTTTCTCCACGCGTATGGGTGTATGGATCAACGAAGAAGCTTCGAGCTTTTATGAGCTTTTCAAAAGCTCCATTTGATCCAGGGGTTTCGTCTTTCCATTTTTGTGTACGAGTGTGCATTGTTTCGTGCCTACATTGGGGAGTGTTGATCCAAGAGGGCAATTCAAAGTTGGCCGTACTCATTTGAAGAGTAAATACCAATTCTTGCGAGCATGTCACGCCCATAACAAAATGATTGTTCTCTCTTCGGAGCCATTTTGTCGATTGGCCTTGTGATCGATGTATGGAGTTACATTGGATGGTCGGTGCATCTTTTACTAAAAAAAAAAAAAAATGTACGGTAAACACTTAAAATTGTTTTTATTTGACTGGTAGAAATAGCCCATTGCTAAGATGATTTAATTCAATAAGGTTTACAGAGTGTGTAAAATGAATTTTCTTCCAACCTCAGTTTGTACTGGTTTAGCACGCGGTAAAGTACAAATGAAATACTCCGTAACGCCAGTTTTAAGACTGCAGTCGTGCAGTTTGTAAATAAGCCAAAATGTCTGTGAAACTTTTTACGGCGATGGAGTACTATGACAAATGAACAGAGACTTTTTTTTATTAAATTCCGTAAAGTAGTAAAAAAATTCCAAAGGATACATTCTTTGTACGGTTTCAAAACCTGGAATAAACGCTAAGATGACAAATTGATACAACAAATTTTGCTGCTTAATTAACACTAATTTTCACAAAGAGTAAAAATAATGTACGATAATATACATGTGAAACATTTGCACCGTTCAGTTATAGCAGTGAGCAAAATTGTATGGGCAATAAAACAATAAATGTATAACCTAAAAGTCATTTGTCCTTATAGGTTATAATATTAAGTTTGTAAAGTTGTCACCCGGGGAAAACATTATGATTTTTTTCAAAATCACTTTTATGTCCTAATTGCTTAATTTTTTAAATAATTGCATTGATAATATACATGCTTTTTAACTATGGAAGTTAATTCAATAACTAATTAAAATTCAAAAATAGATGTAATCTACTATGATGTGTTATGACATTAAGATACCAGCTCAATTACGAAACAAACTTTCAGTATGAAATCTATGAAACATATCATTTTTCGATTCCACATTAAAATCATTGTTTTATTATTTTCTAATATACTATTGTTTGAATAATTCAACAATGCTACAAGTGTATTCTTTTTAACTACCCACTACAATAGAATCATCACCATTCGAGCATTTTAAAATGAGATATTATACCATGTGTGTATAATTTAGTCTCTAAGCAAAATGCACATTGTATTATCATTGTGTTAGTGCGTAGTTCCAGTCTATTTTCAACCAGCTTGTAGAAGAACTGATATGCTTTGTACTTTATCTTTTGTACTGCGCGCAATTGTTCCGAGCAGCTGTATAATCGTTCAAATGTGCGCTTAACCAAGGCATGCTTTGGATAATGATGATAGTGTTTGTCTAATGGTGGAAATAAAAATCACTTGGAATTTAATTTTAATATTGCAAGTAGTACTAAACTCGAAGGACCTCATAGTATGTAACAATCTCTGTGATATATTATAATAGTCAGTAAAAAAAATAGACTTCGACATAAAAAATACGTTATTTCTCATCAGCTCCAAAATAAATAGACCAACTGGTGTAACAATCATAACATTGAACATGACATTATTAAATAAATGAAATGGATACAATGTACTATAAAATTTACGTACAAAATAAACTTACAAAATCAAAATAGCTTACAATTTTTTGATAATATTAATACGTACACTTGTAAAATTTAACCAAAGATTTTGCTAAAATAGAGGTGACAACAAATACTTCACTGTTTTTTAATGTTATCGTCAAGTTGAAGAATTCAATGCTAGTTGGAATCGTTCCACATTTTTTATTTAGAAGATAGAGTTTTCATATCCATTTTGAAATTGAAAATTCTAAAGGTGAACCTCAATTGATATCCTTGATCAGATAAAAAAGGACCTTTACCTTCACTTTATCCCTCTTTCTTCATCTTTCTCTTCAGCTTTTACTTTCTACGTGTTAGCTTTATCGAACAGACATTGAGCTTTGCTTTTTAATTAGCGCTCCAGAACTTCCGTTACTTACGAACTAGCTTAACTTACTCATTAGGAAGATTTTTAATAATTCTCTCCGTAGTTTAAATTATCAAAGTAACACAAACATTAAATTAACTATTCATTTATTAGTGAATTTTTTTATGAAAAATCTTTGTTCCATAAAAAGTTGTTACATCTGTGGATGTAATTGTATTCAAGCTTTGGTTATTGCTATTTTTAATGAATATTTCTGTACGTCTTTTTCTAATTTTCTAGTCATTACCTTTGCGTCTATAAATGTTGCTTTCTTGTTACATCACTCTCCTTCTATATGATTTGATTTTACTGTTCAAAAATGTATATGCCTATTTCATTGTTAAAGTTTGCAGAGTTGCAGATACAAAGAAAAAGTTAAAAAAGTATAAACTTAGTGATTAGAACTATAAAGACAGAAAAATGCAGAGAAAGAGACACAGCCTCAGAGATATCTGAATAGATCCCATGAAAATCAAGACAAAATGTTCAGAGTCAAAGATGTGAAGGTGCATACAAGACATAAACATGAAATATTAAAGACCTTGAGACGTGAGTTACAAACTAAGATTGAATAAAATAAAACTAGAATTATAGTAACTTACGTTAAAAGAATAAAAAGTAAAATATAAACCAATCCATTTTTTAACTACTATGACATTCAAATAGCGTTAGTTTCTTGATTTTGCACAGATTGCTCTAAACTTTTCAACTACGCAAAAAGAAATCAAAAACAAGTATGGTGTAACAATATCGTAAATGTTGTTTTAAGGTTACAGTTCATAAATCACAAGAATGTTGAGGTGGCAACAGAAACGTAGGTAAATAATTTTTTGACGAAAATACATACTAAAATTCAGTATATTTCAATGGATGTTGGCATATGGAGCTCAAACAATAATTTATAAATATGTAAAAATGAAA